AAACCACCCTTGTAGGGGGTAAAAACGCAAAAAAATCGATTTATACAGAATCTGTACACCGTTGAAAAAAAAGTTTAAACAAAAATGTAGCTGAGATAATTTTAAACAAAAATATTTATAAGCATTTTTGTGTAGAATAAACCGTTCTCTTAAAAACAACGCTTGAAATGCAAGCGCATATGCGCGCGAAATCACTGTTCAATAAAATTTGTATCATCTCGACGGTAAAAACTCAATATCTTTTGATTCAAGTGACCTATTTTCAAAAATCAAGATGCGTTTTAAAAGTAACGAGTTTAGTTTTTGAATGCAGTTTTTGTATTTTGCCGCAAATAAACTCAGATTTTATAATGCTGTTAAATAAATAAACGTGGCGCGATTTTTGCTATTTTTTATAAATCTCACGGGATCAATACAATCTATCCCTTTCATTGACTAGCCAGTATAAAGTTTTGATTACTAGAGCCTAACCTTTTAAATCTATGGCATGAAATTTTAGTTTTGCGTTTTAACAACAAATGTGAGGCATTTAAAATATGCTTAAAAAACGTTGGATTTAAAATTTCACACAACAAACGATCTAAAACATTAAATTTTTTTTTCAATTACACTAGTACGTTTTTTAAAGTAACAAAACCACTGCAATAATTTACACCCAAAACAGTCTTCTGAAATGCATTTTCCGTGACGTGTGATCGTTTGTAATGTAAAATATTAAATTCTGCGTTTTTTCCATATTTCAAATGCCTCATATTGCTTAATACAACTGAAAATTGAAATTTCATGTCATATTTTTTAAAGATTGATCTCTAAAAATGAAAAGTTTACTGCAACTGGTCAATGAAAGTGATCAAAATTATTGATCTTATGAGAATCATACAAAATGGCAAAAATCGCGCCACGTTAATTTATTTAACGCCTTTATATAAACTGAGTTTTTTCTCTGCAAAATACAAAGACTGCATACGAAAGCTGCAATCTTGGTCTTTAAAACGCATATTGATTTTTGTCGATAGGATATTTGGATCAAAAGATATCGAATTTTTACCGTCCAGCTGATACAAAGTTTATTGAACATTGTTTTCGCGCGCGTAACTGACATGCAAAATCAGTAATGACCGTAAAGATCGCTTCAAGTGTTGTTTCTAAGAGAACGATTCATTCTACACAAAAAATGCTTGTTAAAATTTTTGTTTAAAATTCTCTCAGCTACATTTTTTATTTAAAATATTTTTTTTCTAAAATGTACATATTCTTGGTAAATCGATTTTTTCATCTTTTTACCCCCTGCGAGGGTAATTTTAGGGGGAAGCCCGGGTGTAAAAGTGGTAAATTTTTTTGCATCTTTTTGGGTCCCAAAATTAACATTTTTTGCAAAATTTTACTTGTTCGCATGATTTTTATGGGTCAATTCTCTGAGAATTGGACTAATGTGTAAATTAGGTTACACCATGTCAATGCGAGTTTGCGTAGATCGGTTTAAAAAATACCTTTTTGGGCACTTAATATATTAAACTGCTATTGTATCCATTAATTTAAAATAAATTGCAATTTTCTGTATTTATGACGCATCTTCTTTTTCAGGTTCCTTCTCCTATCAGAGGTTGGAAGTCATCATAGCTATTTTAATTTTATTGGCTGCGCTTCTAAATAATTTTAATAAGCTGCAACCGAACCACTCTCTCAAATTTCTTAACCAGGATATTTTGCGTCGTCCTGGGTTTCTCTTCCCTTGTATCTTCCCTTGCATAATTAACCTAAGTAATATGTACTGCTAGAGACTACAACACCAGAGAGATATCAAAAGTCATAGAAGAGAACAAAAGTTTAAAAGTCTTCAGAAGGAAACACCAAATAGGAAAGAAAAATATTTACAAACTGAAAAACACAAAGGGCCAAATAATAACAGATAAACAGGAAATTTTACAAACTGTCGGACAATTTTACAGCGAACTCTACAGCAAAACAGAAGAAAATGTTCCAACTGACAACATACCAAATGTTCTAAACCAGGGCTCGGAAGACATAAGAGATGTTACTGTTGATGAAATCAAAAAAGCTCTCCTACAAATGAAAAATAATAAGTCACCTGGCGACGACGGGGTCGTTGCCAAAGCCATAAAATTAGGAGGCGAGAAACTAATACAAATATTTAATTAAAAATCCTTTGTAATAGGTATATTTTAGGCCCAAACGGGCTAAGTTAAAAAGACAAAACGTTTTCGGAAACCATGTTCCATCATCAGTGTCTAGGAGTACATGAATGAAGCCACCAATATTAAATATGTGGGTAAAAACCCGATTACATATGTTTAATTACATTTAGTTTTAAATTAATGTTGAAATGATATAAGATTACAGAGTTACCGATGGATTTGGTAACATGGCGACATATGACTCCACGTTGAAGTTGCTAGTCCTGAGACGGTATATCTTCGAGGACTGTATGAGTGCAACTTCATATATAATCTAACATAATCATAACAGTCCTTGAAGACATACCGTCTCAGGACTAGCAACTTCAACGTGGAGTCATATGTCGCCATGTTACCAAATCCATCGGTAACTCTGTAATCTTATATCATTTCAACATTAATTTAAAACTAAATGTAATTAAACATATGTAATCGGGTTTTTACCCACATATTTAATATTGGTGGCTTCATTCATGTACTCCTAGACACTGATGATGGAACATGGTTTCCGAAAACGTTTTGTCTTTTTAACTTAGCCCGCTTGGGCCTAAAATATACCTATTACAAAGGATTTTTAATTAAATTTTTAATACATGGTATACAGCCAACTACAGGAACGTAGATTCCTTGTGGATAATACAAATACTTTCCATACTTTTCACAGAATGCCTTGAAAGAGGAACAACACCATCACAATGGCAAAATGCAGTGATCATTTTAATGTTTAAGAAAGGAGATTTAACAAATCTCGTAAACTATAGACCAATCAGCCTCATCTCACACATATACAAGCTTTTTACAAAAGTCATAACAAACAGACTTTCGAACAAAATGGACTTTTACCAATCATGCGAACAGGCAGGATTCAGGTCAAGCTTCGGCACAAACGACCATCTACAAGTTATTAAAAGCCTCATCGAAAAATGTATAGAGTACAATAAACCCCTCGTCCTAATATTTGTGGATTATGAGAAAGCATTCGACACAGTTAACCACCAGAAAATGCTAGAAGCTTTAAAAGAGTGCCGAATAGGTCACCGCTACACCACTGTCATCAAAAATATCTATGATAATGCCACGGCATGCGTCAGACTCCATGAAGATACACACAAGTTCAATATTCATCGTGGAGTTCGCCAGGGCGACACCATTTCACCAAAACTGTTTACAACATTATTGGAATACATGTGTAAACGTGCAAACCTAGACGAAAAGGGCATAAACATAAATGGAGAGCAGCTTAGTCACCTCAGGTTCGCGGACGATATAGTCCTGATAACAGACCGCATAGATCATGCCATCGAAATGTGCGAAAGACTCTACCATGCCTCTACACAAGTGGGTTTAAAGATCAATAACTCAAAAACACAAGTGATGACAAACCTTGTTCTGAGTGAGAACATCAACATAGCTGGAACAAGTATAGAACAAACATCAGCATACAAATATCTGGGACACGAAATTCGCTTAAGTAGAAATAACCAGACCAATGAACTAATACGTAGAATAGGGTTGACATGGGCAGCTTATGGAAAGCTAAGAGATGTTTTCCAATCAGCTCTTCCCATCTGCTTGAAGAGAAAAGTCTTCGATCAATGTGTGCTGCCGGTTCTAACCTATGGTGCGGAGACGCTAACACTTACTAAGACGTCCGCAAACAAAATTCGAACAACATAGAGGGCAATGGAACGGTCCATGTTGGGATTAACCCTGAGAGACCGAATACCCAACACAGAATTGCGCCGTAGATCGGGAGTAACCGACGCAATCAAAAGAATATCAACCTTAAAATGGAACTGGACAGGGCACGTCGCGAGAACGAAGGACGGCAGATGGACAAAACGCATTCTAGAGTGGAGACCCAGACAAGATGCCTTTAGGAATAGAGGACGACCACCAACAAGATGGACGGATGACCTGAAACGGACACATCAAAATTGGATGCAGGCGGCTCAGGACAGAAATTTGTGGGATGAACTACGGGAGGCCTATGTTCAGCAGTGGACGAGTATGGGCTGAATGATGATGATGATACGTACTGCTCGTCCCTCATTATATGACCCAGATATTGAATCTTTCTAATTTTAATAGTTTTTATGACTTCACATTCTTTCTTCATTCTTTGTTAGTTACAACACCTCTATGTTAGTTACTTTTTCAGTCCACGATATTCTGTGGATTCTCCTGTAGGACCACGTCTCAAAGGAGTTTAATTTTTTGATTTTAGACTGTTTTATTGTCCACGTAGACGTTAGGGTTACTCTTTTGGAAAATAAATTTATAAAACAAGTAAAAAATATTTTGACCAACAAAGTTGAATGTTGATATTTACAAATATGTAAGAGATAAGCTAGTCTTTTTCTCTTTACTTTTACTCGCATATATTCTCTATATCATATCCATTCGTCCTTATATGGTTTTTATTGATTTTGTATTTTAACTGATGAAAGGCGGTGGTCTGTTCACCGATTTTATATACCTATACAATATGTCAATTGATAGCAACACAAACCGTTATTTTCTACAGCTTCATAAAATAACATTTTATATTATCTGTTGACACAAGCGTCCATACAACTCATACAACTGGAGCGTCCCCACATAATTCAAGTCCAGAAATTTTCATCTTAAAAGTGACTACAAATTTCAAGTGACAGTTTAAGTAAATGTTAGCTAATATCTTGGAAATGGTTGTCTATATTATAAATACTTATGGTATCAACATTTTTTTATTTTTATAGACACATTTCATAAACTTTATGCTTAAGCTCACAATTCCCTGATTATCTAATCTTTTTTTTTTAGATTAGTGGTCTAAAAGCCGACGACAAACCTGAACACACAGCAGAATGTATTGCCAAGTCAGGAGCAAATGAAGCTGATGTCTTTGCTAGACCACGAAAGGAATCTCCCGAGATTAGATGCTTCTGGAAATGTATTATGGAAAAAGATGGAATGTTGGACGCAAATGGAGTATTAAATCCAGATATATTTGAGACATCTTTTCCAAAAGCTGCTGCCAAATTGGACGCTCAAAGCATAACAGATCTGAAGAAGTGTTTGGGAGCTGTTGGAAAAATTACCACGTGTGAAGATACGACCAAGATTAGGGATTGTATTGTTAAGGCATTTAAGCAATAATAAATTCTATTCCTGGCGCATAAAAATAAAATAATTAATACTTTAATTCTAATGTTGTTTTAATTCTGTTGCATATAACAGAAGACAAAACCTTGTATTTACAACCATTTGATTGCATTTGAAAATAATGTGTATTGGACTATATACCAAATAAGGGGAATATTTTAAATGAGGCAATAATTCTAAGCTTAATTCATAAGGTTTAACCTAGTAGGCATGTAATTATCTAATCTACCTATCTAATTAGCCTTCTTTGGTCCATCTTTGGACATAGGCCTTCCCAATCCTTTTCCATTCTTCTCTGTCTGTCGCTACAGTCATCCACCTAGAGCCCACGTGCTTCTTGATATCATCTGCCCATCTCATTTGGGGCCTTCCTCTGCTTCGTTTAGATTCCCACGGTCTCCAACTTAAAATAATTTTGTTTCATCGGTCTTCTTTTTGTCTTATATTGTGTCCGGCAAATCTCCATTTCAATTTTGCAGCTTCTTGTCTAACATCCCTTACTTTTGTTTTCTCTCTTATCCACTCGTTTCTCTTCTTATCCATTAGACTTATGTGCAACATTTGTCTTTCCATTGCTGTTTGGGTTTTTATGATTTTGATGGGTTATGATGGGAGGAACAGGGAGTACGCATTGATTATATACTTTGGTCTTAAGATGCTGTGGATATCTTTTGTTTTCAAGAATGTAGCTTAGTTTGCGAAATGCTGCCCATGCTAGTCTAACTCGTCTCTTGATCTCTGCTATTTGGTTCTCTTTGTTGTTAAGTTTTATAGTTTGACCAAGATATATAATAATCCTTAACTTGTTCTATTTCATCAGGCATGTAATTAATCTGGTGGAAAACAACTTTCTCCTTAATCAAACAACTAGAAAAAAAAATACACAGTAATTGTTTTTTTCTTTTTTGGATAGTCGATTAAGAAAAATTAACGATAATCTCGAAAAAGTGTTGAAAGATGGTTTTCTGATGATGAAATCATTTTTCTTTCTCTCCAATCATTCTTTGGTTATATTTGAAGACAATAATGTGTTCATTGTTTTGAGTATAGCATAAATTATATTATTTTAATATTGTTAAAATAAATACCAAAAAACTGTTGACTGAGCTAAAGACAAGATACTCCAACTTTTAATTTCAAATGTGCCCTTTTTAAACATAAATTTCAATTAACAAGGTGATTCACGCAAGAATAGCTTGGTCCATTATCTTTATTTTTAATGTAAGCTCCTGTATATTTTTATATTTTTAAAAGCTCCTCAACAACCTTATCCTAATAAATATGTTATGTAGGGTGTTATGCATAATTAAGGTGAAATTTTGAAAGTATCTATAATTTTCGTCAAAAAATTAACCTGCTCTAATGAAAATGCTCTTCAAGAAGAAAAAACCTGCTAATAAACGTTATAACAAAAAATGAATACCCATTGTCATTTATATACAAGGAAAAAGGAAACAACAAAACACACAAGCAATCCAGAAACTCTAACAAGAAGGGATTTAAAAATGACAATACCACATATAAAGGGCTTATTAGAATAATTTAAAACTGTAGTAAATTAGTATACTATCACAACATTTAATACATCTAACACACTGAAATCTATCATGTCCAAAACTAAACCCAACAACACACAAGAAAGATTAAAAAACTGCATGTATAAAATACTCTGTAAATACAACAATTTCTATATGGGAGAAACAACAAGACCACTAAGTATTATAATAAACGAGCATATGTAAATATGACTGCGACAACGAGCACAGAGTGCAATGGAAAGATGGATCAATAATCATAAAAGAAACAGACTTGAGAAAGAGAAAAGTCAAAGAATCAGCTCTCATCGTACTTAATAAAGAAAAATGTGTAGCGAACTCATCACCAGAATGCAGCAAGTTCAGGTAGCCAACTCTTTAAGTCAATAACAAGAATATACGAATAATAGCGGATCATTATGAAGTCGGAGACATGTCATCTACAATTTATAAACAATACAAATGCAACACACAGTTCATACACATAAAATCCACGTAAACATACATCACACAAATATACAAAAAACACACAAAACAGTTAGATTAGTTTCAGAGTTTCAGATCAGTTTAGAACTAAAAACACCAGCCTCAGATTCCTTTCAACCATAATCATGTAGGTCAACCATCAGTTTTGAAGAACATAGCCTCTGGCAACATCTTGCTGGTTGTAATTAAACGAATTAAAAAAGAAGACTTATTAGAAGAATTCTTATAGAAGAATTAAAAAGAAGAAGATTATTATGGGTGACTTAAATGAAAAAACTGGTGAAGCAACAAGCAGTATTTCTTTACTAACCCTACCGCAGTAGGGAAGGAAATGAAAGGGAAGAAAGATTAAAACTGTTTGTAAAGAAAGAGGAATTTGCAATAATAAATATATTCTTGAAACTACCACCAACAAATTTTTATATCAAGATCAACCGGAAAACATAAAACAGAATCAAATTGAATACATAATGCTGAACAAAAAATTAATCTAAATTAAAGTAATTTTGGGGCTGACATATCCTCAGATCATGTTCGTGTTGTTGAGAAATTTAGGTTTAGATTTAAGATGGTTACAAAAAGAATCGTAATAAAAAATGCGGTATAAGAAGATAAAAAGATACGGAAACAAAAGAGACAGTCGCACGGATTCTTTCACAGAAGTAGTAATATGAGGCAAACATATAATATAGAAGAATCGCTTTAGAATATTTATGAAATATTTAACAAGAACACAGAAGAAAATTTAGTAGAAAAGAAAGAAAAGAGAAAAATTTGTATAAATGATAATATACTGCAATTCATGAAAGGAAGAAGATAATCAAAGAACAACAAAAGAATATACAAAATATTTCAGAGACAAATAAGAATCGGAATACAAAAAATCAAAGAAAATTGTTTAAAAATACAGTGTGAAGATATAGATTTGTTAGAACAAAAACACGATACATATAATATGCGTAAAAAGATAAAACAAGCAACTGGACTTTAGAAGTCCAACACACCTAGCAAACTGCGATATCAACAAAAGAACATCATCACAGAGAAAAGTAAAATTACTACTAAGATGACAAAGCTTCTGGACCTAATAATGCATATGCTGAACTCAAAACTATTTAACACCGACGGTACTCACCGCCTAACAAAAATGTTTAAGGGCATATACTTAAGCGAAGTAATACCAAGAACAAGGCTGTAGTCGACGTTTATAACTCTACAAAAGAAAACGAAAGTCCTGCAATCATTTTCGTACCATCAACTTAATGAGCTAGATTTTAAAGTTTTTTCTAAACATCCTACATTAAAGGATATAGAGACTATGTGAAGAAAAAATCAGCCATACACAGTATGGTTTTCGGAATGCGGTGGGTAGGGGAAGGACGAAGATGACGCACCTAAGTAAAATACATTTTATTTAAGGGTAAAAAATATTTAAGCCCACTTTGAATGCTACCAGCCTGTAATTTGGACATTTCTATAACCAATTTCTAGGATTATTTTTAAATTCAATAAAAGGAAGTATTTTTTATGCGGCTTTTTTTAAAAACGCTTTTGCGCCATCTTACAGTGATGATGAAGATGGCGCATGTAGGTATCTATATTAAAAGCGCAAGTGATATGAAAAGAAAATTTATTTTTTAATACTGAAAGTAAGAAAATGTAAACAAAGCTTTTTTAAGATATTAACAAAAGTCACAAATGTAGTTTTCGGGACTTTTGGCTCCACTGCATTCTTTATGCACCCATTGTCCACAACTTGTGCATCTGAACCATGTTTCCGTCTTTTTGCCGAAGTCTCCACATAACATGCAGATATCAGTTTCACCTCCCTCGTTGATTATGTCATCCAACTCATCGTCATTGCAAAGACCTTCTTCATAAAAATCGCTTTCTTCAGTATCGCTATCCTCCAAGATTTTTTTGTTTATTTTTTGTTTGATTATTTTTTGTACTTTGGCTTTTCGTATATTTTTATTTAGTTTTAATCCTGCATCATTAACCAATACTTGTCTGATTACTTTTTTCTTTCCTTCTTCCGACTTCGCCAGTTTTTCTTTTTTTTTATTCTCTTTTTCTTCTAAGAATTCTTTTAAAGGGGTGCTTGTTAGAATTTCAGAATGTTGCTTTTGTCGTCCATATTTTCTTTTAATTTTTTTATTGGGCAAAGGAACTGGAGAAATAAGTGAAAGAGAAATATGTGGACGTTTGGTTATTTCATTTTGTTTTGTGGGGGTTGTGTGACGATTTTCAGGAGACTGTCGGCTGGTTGATGGACGTGGTAATTCTGGTTCTCTTATAGATGGTGTTGTTATTAGTGGAGGTGTTCCCTGAGGTGCAGGTTAAGGAGAAACATCTCTATCCAAGCTATCATTGTTTAAATTATCAGCAGGAAAAAAGTCATCTTCTGTGAACTTATCAGAGTTTAACGGAAAAATTCCGCACGTTCTGAAACCAGAAACGGCCTTATCAATATTTGCCACTTGATCATATGCTAACTTAAAAATCTCGGCGACATCATATGGAGTAATTTTATCTTCAAACTCTGAGTTGCTGATCTTAGATTTTAGAGAGGAATTGCAATGGCGACCATACGCATATTTTAATGCAGGAAAAAATGACACATCAAGAGGTTGTAATTTGTGGGATGTGTGGGGTGGAATACTAACCATTATAATCCCATTCTCTTTGTAGTAATTATAAATATCCAGTGAAATATGGCTCGAGTGATTATCTAATACTAACAGCACGGGATTATCTGGACTAGACAGGACTTTTTTTTTTTTGGAAATGCTTCAGCCATAATGAAAACATAGACGTATTACTCCATTCATTATCCGTGCAGTTGTAAATCGCACCGCTTGGTCCATTTTTCTGAAGCTGTGGGCTCATCCTCTTCCTGGGAAATATAAATCATGGAGGTATGTAGTTACCGGAGGCACTGAACGCCAATATTACCGTGATATTCTTCCCTCG